ACGAGGGGGCGGGGGAGCCCTCTGCACACAGCAGGGGGCCAGTTGGGGTCCTTTGGGGCTTTGCACCCCCTGGGGGGGGCGGGGAGGAAAGAGGGAAATTGTTCTCCCTGGCCTCTGAGGACGGGACACGAGACAGTGGCCTTAGGTTGCAGCAAGGGAGGTTTAGGTTGGACATTAGGAAACACTTCCTAGCTGCCAGGGTGGTGAAAGGCTGGAATTAGTTACCAGGGATGGACTCTCCATCAGTGGAAAGTTTTAAGAGCAGGTTGGACAGACAGCTCTCAGGGATGGGCTAGACCAGTGGGCTTCAAACTTTTTGGCCCAACACAGACCACTTAGCTCAATGTAAACTTTTGTGTGGACCATTAGTTGCTAATGGAAACTCACTATTAATAAGATAATTACACCCAAGCCATTTTGTAAGTGCTACAAGGAGGGAAACTGGTTAAATCTAAATTATTAAACAGATTAAGCGCTTTAACATTCCCACATTAGTTTATCATACTTCATTTTAAATCAAATAAAATATTAATTCATAGCCAATGGAAAAGGTTTCAATGTTTTCTTCCCCCCCCCTGCCCTCACTGATGTGCTCCCAACTGAGACACCTCACTCCTCTGGCATTCCAGCCCCACAGGCTGAAGGGAAGGGACAAGGAGGGCTGGGGTTTAGACTTCCCATAGGCCAGATTTACTTTTCTGGGGTTCCAGAGTTAGTGGATTTTATGGACCCCCTTAGACTCTAGGGCTACGTCTACACTGGCATGATTTTGCGCAAGAACTCTTTCGCGGAAGAGTTCTTGTGCAAAAACTCTTCCAGAAGACAGCATCTACCCTGGCATGTGCTTTTGCGCAAGAGCATCCTTGACCGTGTAGACACTCTCTTGCGCAAGAAAGCTCTGATTGTCATTTTAACCATAGGGCTTTCTTGCACAGGAAATTCATGTTGCCTGGCTACACTGGCCTCTTGTGCAAGAACAGTTGCACAAGAGGGCTTATTCCTGAGCGGGAGCATCATAGTTCTTGTGCAAGAAGCACTGATTTCATACATTAGAACGTCACTGTTCTTGCGCAAGAACTCGCGGCCAGTGTAGACAGGCAGCAAGTGGGGACTCTTGTTGCTCTTGCTTCTAATATATTTGTAGAATGTCTTCTTGTTACCCTTTATGTCTCTAGCTAGATTGAACTCGTTTTCTGCCTTTGCCTTTCTCATTTCACTCCTACACACTTTCATTTGTTTATATTCATCCTTTGTAATTTGATCTAGTTTCCACTTGTATACGACTCCTCTTTGATTTTTAGATCATGCAAGATCTCCTGGCTAAGGCACAGCAGTCTCTTGCCATACTTTCTATCTTTCCTATGCAGTGGAATAGTTTGCTTTTGGTCCTTTAATAATATCCCTTTGAAAAACCGCCAGCTCTCTTCAGTTGTTTTTCCTCCTAGTCTTGCTTCCCATTGGACCTTACCTACCAGCTCTCTGGGTTACTAAAATCTGCCTCCTGAAATTCATTGTCTCTATTTTGCTGTTCTCCCTTTTACTATTCCTTAGTATCATGAACTCTATGATTTCATGGTCACTTTCTCCCAAGCTGCCTTCCACTTTCAAATTGTCAACCAGTTTCTCTCTATTTGTTAAAATCAAATCTGTTCCAGCTTCCCTTCTAGTATCTTTCTCAACCTTCTGAAATAAAAAATTGCCTCCAGTGCAGTCCAATAACTTGTTGGATAATCTGTGCCCTGCTGAGTTAGTTTCCCAACAGATGTCTAGATAGAAGTAGTAGATCCCTAGCGTGACATCACCCTTATTTTTTTATCCCTTTTAACCTAAGCCAGACACTCTCAAGTTTGTCTCCTATGTCCCTCTCCTTCTTAGTCCAAGTGTATACATTTTTAATATATGTATTAAATATATTAAGTCCAATCAAGAACCCAACCCACGTGGGTTCCCTTTTTTCTTTGCCTATCCTTCATGAGCAAGCTGTTCCCTTCTATACCAATATTCCAGTTGTGTGTGTGGTTATTATTATTGTTGTTGTTTTGTTGTTTGTTGATATTATTATATGTTTAAAGTACTTTTGAATAGTGTCTCAGAGTGGTAGTTATGTTAGTTTGTAACTTTAAAAACAATGAGTAGTTCTGTGGCACCTTAAAGCCTAAAAAAAATATATATAGTATTGTGAGCTTTTGCAGTTAAGGTCCATTTTGTCAGATGAGTTGGAGTGGAAATAATAGAATCCAAGATATATATATATATAACAGCAAAAGAAGTACGTGTCAGTTGTAGGACCCATGCTAATGAAGCTAATTGAGTGGACTGGATGTGTCCCATTCATAACTTTTTATGTGAAAATGCAAATGTTAAAGGCAGGGAATATTGGTTTTGTAGTGCATTAACCAGTTAATGTCTTCATTCAAACCAAGGGTGACAGTGTCAAATGTGTAGATGAATTTCAGTTCTGCAGTCTATCTCTGTAACTGAGAGGTGAAATTCCTTTGTAGAAGAATGGCTACTCTTAAATCCATGATTGAATGATCAGATAGGTTAAAA